CGATCCATGGCTTTGACAAAAATTTTTACCAAACCTAGTTTTATATATAAAGGTGGTAAAAGTACTCTGGTGGGCTCGTGTAGAACATTCTTTACTCCAGGAGTGAGACACTCACGCTTTGGCCAGTCTTTCTTGGCAGTGATTGTTTCGATCTTTGCTATCCCACTCACCTAAAAAGCAATACTTTGTAAAACCTAGCTGTAACCCTAGAAGTAAAGCACAGACTTTTAGACGTTTACTGGATTTTTTAGCATCAATTTTATGTTTTCGTAAGTTTCTTTCATGCCGGAAGCATGTGCTATCGGAACAGGGGGAAATCTATTTCCATTATGCAACACTACAGCTTTTAAATTGTTAAACTTTCACGAATCACGAGTCACGAGTTAAATTTTTCACGAGTCTATAAACAAACACAAATCTTGTGGTTCAAAGTTAATATCTATCAAGTTCATGACCGAAGTAATATTATTGTAATAAACTTAATTATCTTCTTGTGAAAAGTATTTTGTTAGTTCTTCATCACGGCTACGAAAACGACACACCTTAGCATCAGGATGAAGCAAATTTCATTGTAGATCGTAATAGTTCAGACTGCTTTGTTGTCAAATCATTTAGATCAGTTTGAGGTTACTTACTATCAGGTATATAGGTTGAATCATGAATTTCATCTGTAATTGCACAAATCGATGGCAAGATTTGCAGCGTCATTTGTCTGTTTTGGTATTGCAGGTATAGTTAAATCAGCACTATGAGGAAGTGGTCGTCTTGCAGAACATACGTTTGCATGTTTTTTTTGCTTTTATATTAGTCAGGTGAAAGTAGCAATCAGATACGTAGTTTAAAGGCTCTATCCAGATCAAGGTATGCTAAATTCACAATTTAACACAGTTTTAAATGAAAACTTGATGCAATTCTACCATACGTACAGTAGTATTAGCGAACAAATACGGTAAAATCCTAAATGGCTGTCACAACAAATTTACGGGTGCTAGAAACAAAATATTGTGTATATTAGTGTTTTGTAATGAGCAAATCTTCAATAGTCCACAATCTATTATGAAGGTTTTGAAGCACTTCATTTTCTATTATATTGAAAGGAAAAAAAATTAAAGAAAACCGTATCTCAAAAACTAAGTAATAGATCGTCAAGAAATGAAATTACTAAAGCCAATTTAATCTAGTTTAAATTTGTTAGAAATAATTTGTTATTTCCCACAAATCTCATGGTTATGAAGTTATCAAAGCAACTCTGAATTTTTAGTGGTCATCGTGGTTCAGTTGAAAAGAACACATATTTAAAAAAAATCATACCTCTAAAACATAATGAGATATTTTGATGAGATAATCAACATATTATAATCAAATTTAGTCTTTAGTTAGCAAATTCAAGTTTGATCAGAAAATGTCGCTCCTTTCAACTGAGAAAAGTATCGTTCGGCATAGACCGCCGCTCTCACTACGTTAGCTCGTACCATTCGATTACTTTGATGTTACCGAAAAGTTACGGGTTGCGAGCGAACACCAACGAAGCTTCATTGGGCTATATATACATTATACATAGCTTTATGCGAACTTTCTGAACCTACTTCACCACTGGGTATGTTTATCTGAAATTAATGTGAACAACTGTAGTTGTAGTGGTAAAATTCTGCATGGGAACTACATCGTTAATCATCACGGTGGAAGATCTAATTTTTTTGTTAATTTGGAAGTGTGTAATGGTGGTGTTTTTGTTTTTATCTGTGATTATGTATATCTCCGTCAACTATTAAACATATCATTTCTACATAGCTTTGTCTAAATGCTTGTAATTATCAGGTTTTATGCTTGCAAAGAATACTTTATGTCAAATTTTGTTTTATGAATATCTGATATTATTTGTATCTTTACAATCCTTTATAATCAGCAGTCAATAAATGTAGTTAAAGTCGACATTGGTACTCTTTATAAGGTACAAGGTAATGCGTATGAATAAGTACGTAGGACCGGACCAAGAATTGTGGAAACCAGCTTGGAATAACGATGATAGTTCTGAAAATAAAACTAATATATCGAACTAATAATAGGTACAATGTATTAAATAACCGAAGGGCAAACGGGGATGAGACAAAAGTAAAAAAGTCTCCACCTGTGTTCGTACGTACATGATGAAGATTACATGAAATCTTTGCACGACCTAAACAAAAAACGGCTACTAATAACTACGTGCTGAAAACCCTAAATTAATTTCTCAAAATATGGTGGTAAGAATGGAGAAACTATTTGACGCCTGAAATGACGATTAATGAGAATATGACGAATATGAGATTAAAACATTCATGCATTTGCATCACATCGGTGTCATGTTAACATCATTACCGAATAGAAGCCATTTTTGACTACAGTAAGTAGAGTACACTGTATCAATTAATTATCGTAACCCACGTGACCTGTGTAATATTGGCTGCATATCTCAATATGTAGTGGTGGCCGACCGTACGTTATTGTTGTGATTATCGTACGCTTTGTGAGTTTCCATACGCATTGTCGCCATCGTTTTTAGGAACTTTCGTCGCGTTGCAATATTAATCTGTGATACTGGTTGCATACTTTGTCGGGTACGATAATTAATTAACACACTGTAGTATTAAGCATTGCGAACTTGACAAAGTCCAAATAAATCTATAACTGACATCAATGTACTAGGCACATTGATGTTTTCAAATTACTGAAATGTTGCTTTATACCTACATAGTTGCAGGCGGTTATAATTCAAAACATCATTTCTAGGATCAAGACTCACCACCAATTGTGGAAGGAATTTTTACAAAGCTATTTCGGATGATAAGCTGAACATTCTTTCTGTAGATCAGACGGCATATAAGGAAGAAAGACGGCACTTGAGCAAGAAACCAACTAGGCAAAGTACAATGTCTTTGCTGAACATTTACAAAATGTATTTCCTCCAAATTCTAGAGTAGCAGTTACAGATGACGAGCTTATTCAGGAAACGCTGGCAGCTTACAATCAAAAGAGTGAATATGTATGTCCGAAATCAAGGGCATTATTGATGGACTGGGACCGAAGAAATCGGCGAATACGACGTGATCAGCATGATTCGGAAGCAAATTCCAGATGAAGGATCACCTAATCAACGTGACGTCATATCGGCCTATTAACCTTCTGCTGAAAATACTTCTTTTAAAAGGGTTCTATTGAGGAGACTGCAAGTATCTCAACGCGGCACTGTCGAAGAGATCCTTAGAATGAAAGGTAGTGTACTTGGGCCGACCCTGTGTCTACTTACATCTCGGACCTTCCTGTTATTCATTCAACGATCATAGCTAATTTCGCTGACGACACCGTAATTACTGTGGCTGACGATATGGAGGATAAATGTCAATAATGCCAAATCCAAACACATTGACTCCTAGGAAGGGAAATATCCATCAATAAATCTCTACAACATTCTTCTACCGATGGAAAGTCATGGCAGGTACTTAGAAATATATTTGGACAGCCATCGTATTTGGAGTAAGCATATATCGATGAAAGACTGCAGCTGGGACTACACAGGAAAATGTATTGATATGTGACCAAAAATTGTCAAAAGTTTAGAATATACTAACCATATTGATATCAATCTGGGATTTTAATCCAAAATACTTCGCCCTATCTCACAAACACCATGATAGGTAACTAATGTATAATTAGAAAACCATTCAAATATTACCGTCAATAATTTAAGTTATCGACAAACCACTAAAAGGTTAGCCAACATCTTATCGTAAAGAGGGAAAGGAGGAATCGAAAAGTAATAGAAAAATGATGGACCACTGAGATGGGCAACTGGGGATGATCACGCCGTCATAACTCATTTTATTTTTATAACAAATCATATAGTATTCTATTGATTGTTATTTTTGTTAGCAAATTACAGTAATGGAGGAATCAAAAGAAATGAAAAGATTGTTTACAATAATGTTAAGGTTGTGCGGTGCAAGAAACGCAGCCTGACATACTATATTATAAAATACCTTGTGCAGAAACAGATTTTAAATTAACTGAGGTGAATCAAAAAGCCAAGCGTATAAGGAATCAGCAGTAGGGAACATCGATTATGAACATTTTTATGTAAAAAAGTTCTCTATAGATTCAAAAAAGATACGAGATTTACTGGATCGTTGCAAGGAAAATGACATCAAACCATGATATTTCTCCTTTTATGAAGGTGTATCAATAAATTCAAAAGACAGAAATCAGGAGACCGAGATCAATTCGAGTGACCCAGACTCAAAGGACTTTTTACATATAACTGTTTTAGCAAATTAAAGTTAATGAGAATGGAAAGTATAAGTCTATGTTGATTTATATAAAGTATTTGTATTATGTTTTGTTTCTGCGTTTTATAAATATTTATTAATAAATAAGTTTTTAAACTTAGGTTTTAACCATGAATGGACATCCATTCTTACGACACAATTCAGTTATTCAAGTTAGTCTAAGTTCAGTTAGTCATTAATGGACAACTTTACGAAAATCAAAATTTCAGCAAAGTCCAAACTTAATTCAATAAAATCCTTTTAATTTAATGATTATTTTATTCGTTTTTTTATATTTTAATGATAATTTGAATAACACATTATATAAAAAAAAATTCTTTAACTCAAATTGAATTAATTCCCCAATTACTCTTTTATTTATCCCAATTTAAACGATTTCCAAAAAACAAACATAACAAAAAAAGCTAATTTACAAAATCGCCTTTCAAAATACACCTTTAATTACATCCTAATTAGTTAATCGTAACGAGTAACTCTTAATTGGTTAACAATAAACAAAAACCTCTCGCTCTCTCGAGAGAGTTTTCCCCGGTTTTCCCCAACGTGCGCTGTCCCCCCTAGTTTTCCCCGATTGGTCGTGGAAATTCGTCTCAGCCAATAGTCGAACGGTTCGAGTTGCCGCGTTTTCCACATCCCACAGCGAGTTTGGAGGACTTTGCTCCGCGCTTTCAGTTTGTGTCCGGTTTTCGGGTTGAAACAACGTCGGTTTTCGGTGCGTTTTTCGACAGCGCGATCGTATTTTACTCGGTTTTGATTTCAATCTTTTAACTTGCGAGAATCGCTGAACTTGATGTGTGCTAATTGAAACGTAAAACTCCAAATGCATCCATTAACGTGCTATTTGACGCTGACCACGCTGTTTCTGTATGGTAGGTGTTAATTTTTTTTATACATTGTTGGGTTTAACCTATTTTGGAAAGCGTATTTTTTGGGGAAAATCGAATGGTGTCGCTAGTTGCGGAATATGGACAGCTTTTTTATTTATTTTTTTAGTGTTGCCGAACTATCTCAAAACGAACTGACAGTCGAAAACCGGAGGGAAAAAGTGGGATTTTGGGAGATGTTTTGTTCGGGTTTTAACATTTGACGTGGTCAATTAAAAATGCGTTGGGTGTTCGGAGAGGAATCAGTAACTTTTTGTTGGCTATTTTTAGTTTTTAATTAAGAACTCTCCTACATCAAATCGAATTAAATTTCGATAACTACTGTTTATTATCATTAATTATAACAGACACATGACTATTTCGAAATAACATATCATCTACAATGATTCGTCCGAATAATAAACACGTATCCCGTTCTAGATAAATTGTTTATGCAAAACAACACCGGCTAATTATAAAATCCGAAATAATAATTAGTAATTACGCCGAGTTTTAACCATTTTCGGTAATAATGGCATCAAATCCACGCGAAGCTTTTAATGGTAATCCACGAACCATTTACAAGTTGAACTTATTTTCACAAAATTTCCGAATTTAATTTTTTCCCTTTGTTTAAAATTCAATAATACACCGACCATTAGTATTTCTATTCATTTTAATTAATATTAGGTATTTATGGAAACCTAATTTATGTTATGATTAATAAAAATAAATATTAACTTTGAATATTATTAAAAAGAGTAAGAATTATCTAAAAAAGCTTTCGTTATCGTGTAGAAGCTTGCATATTTCATCCACGTAATATACTATAGCGTCGAAAATCTCACCCCCCATATAAATCTAGTGCGAAATTCCCGAGACATTATATTGAATCTGACACGCTGTACGTGAAGTAAATGTGTACACTTTATAAAATACCTTCCTTTTTGATCTCGCATTTGACGCCCTCTGACTGCCCGAGCTACGGTGAAAAAGAGGAAAAGAGAGGCGATGAAAAATTGAGTGAGAGAGACAGTGAAAGGAGTGGTAACGGTGAAGGTTTTGAACGTGTGCAGAGAGGTCGCCGCGAAATGCGAGCTTTCCCCGAGAGCTTGGACCGGAGAGCTTGGGGCTATTTTTGCCCTAATCCCGGTTTTAATCTGTACAATTGCGGATTTATTTATTACGCAGCGAGAAGATTACGTCGCGTAATTCTGCAGGATACCGCTGGATTATAAGCAAATGTTCTGGCGTTTTATTGCAGCCGGGCGCAAATTGGTTTTTCATTTTCCGGCCCTTTCCGACGGATTGCTCTGGGTTTGTATTCTGTATGTCGCGAGACTAACACCAACACACGTAAAGTGTACAATTTCCGCCCAGTTTCGTTTCGTTATTTATTTATTTTCTAGTTACGTTAACGCTACATTATATATTCCTTTTTCGTTTCATTTTAAGAACGTTATCCCGAAAATCCCTCAGATATCTCTAGAAATTTATTATCCACTTAAACGTTCTTATCAATCGGGTAGATCTGCAGTGTCGTCCTCCGGCAGAGCATTGTTTGCTTTAATTAAACCAGGCGACATAAATTTCTTTAAGAAGCCACCACCCCCAGCTCAGAATTGCAATTCGTCCGATCTCCGAGGGGTTTTATCTAGAAATTCTCCACCACCACCGGACGTTTGGGCGTTGAGAATCGTTGAATTATAACTTGAACCGTGTCATGACAATTGGACCGGTAAATCCGGCATTTGCACCTAGCAAATTGGCAAGTGGTTTTAAACGGAGTTATACGAAGCACTAAGCCGAAGGTTGTACATGGAAATAGGTCGGAGGCAGAGGGTGAGCGTTAAAGAACCGAATGCGCGCGCGAGGGGGGATTTGAAGGTAGAGGGAGATAGCTTTGGAGTAAGTCGGATAAGGAAGGATAAAGGGGGTCGGAATGGCCTTCGGTGGACCGCAAATGCGGACAAAACAGGGGGCGCAGATTACCGTCACCCCGTTTAGCCGCCGACGCAGAAGTGATTATTTAGAAATTTGATTTGTTTCGTAATTACTGAGGTTTTACTTGTGGGGATTAATTAAAATCTCAACATCTGGAACAAAATTTATAGGAACCTCAAACTTTACTTTAATCTAAAATTGGAAATAGAAAATGAACTAACAAAAAAGAGATAGTAATTGGATTAGTTTGAATTAAAAAATACTTTAGCTACTGGACTCGAATCATTATAAACTAACTTCATTACTCTGCAACAAAAATTATTGAATATATCAGAAGTTTGGCAGTTTTGTTCGCCAGCTTATTGTATATAATCGAGAATTGTCTTGTATTTCTTGACAATATCGTATATGTTACGGGATAAAAGTTTTTATAAAACTATAAAATTTACCCAGTTGAAAGTAGTTGGTGTCATTCATACTTCGACCTGTTAACTAAATGAACTTCTCGTGAAGTTCATTGTTGATTCAACATTGTGCAAACTTTCTTCCTGGTCACCCAAGAGAGCGCTGTTTCACCAACGCCAGTGAATTTATCCGGGGCATCCGTCTATCGATGGCCACCCTTCCTTGCTGCTATATAAGGAAGGTATTAATAAATTATGGATGTTCAATGCTACACTATAAAACTGATAAAACCGTTTGAACCTATATTTGGTTTTGCCAAATAAAATTTTTAAACTTCTATTTCACAGTATGCTTCATCTATATTTTGAACCAAAAGTCACAGCAAAATTTTCAATATTATAAAACCTTGCGTAATTATGTTACGGGTGCAATTCGTCGAGAGAAAAAGACATTTTTTGAACAAAAATTGTCAAGAAATTTAATACTTTAAGACCATCCGCTGCTTCTATTCCATCGCATTTGGCTGATCCTAATAATATTAACACCTTTTTCAGCAATTCTGTAAAAAGTAGTCTCATTGAGCTTGATACTAATCTTCAATCTTATTATTACAATAATAGAATGCACCCAGACACTTCAACAATGTCTTTTCGTAAGTATATTCTGAAAATTATAAATAATAATTTAATATGAAATCCACTAGAGTAGGATCTGATGGGATTGGTTTGGACATGGTACGCTTATGTTCTCCACGTATTCTTGATATGCTTAAGCACATGCTAAATTTCTGTCTTACTGAATCAGTGTTTCCAATGTCTTGGAGGCATGTACACCCATTAAACGTGACACCCATTAATAAAACGAACCCAGTTACTACATACAAGGATTTAAGACCCATAGCAATATTGCCCGTACTATCAAAACTATTGGAGAGACTCATGGTTGAGCAATTGCAGTTTTATTTAGACACCATTGTATTTTACAGCTTAAACAATCTGGCTTCAGGAAACATTTTAGTTGTGCTAGTGCGCTGCTGGACCTGACCGACGATACTTGTGGTGCGTTGGATGTAGATAGCTCAACATTGTTAATTTTGCTTGATTTCACCAAGGCTTTTGATATACTTAATCATAGCCTATTCTAAAATTTATTGGGTTGGATGATAAAGCGATTAGATTGTTCAATACTTGTCTTTCGGATAAACTGCGATCTGTAACAACGCAGGGGTCTATTCTTGGTCCAGTTTTATACACTATACACACTTTCAATTTATTCTCGAAATTGAAACATGGTTCATTCCATCTATATGCTGATGACACTCAGTTGTGTTACAAAATTAAACCATACGATCTTCCTATGATATGCAGTACTATTACTGACGAACTAAGTACAGTGTGTACAGAGATTACTAAACATGGTCTAAGATTCAATCCTGCCAAAACGTAAGGCATTATATTTACCAGAAGAGGTAAGTTGTTTGTCGATATATCTCATGTAAATGTTTACATACTAGATATGGTCAAGAGTTTAGGGGTTATCTTGGACAATCAATTGAACTTTAGTAATCACGTCAAAGTTTTGTGTGGTCGCTTTTATAGTGTTTTGAAGCTCCTCTACTCGAATAGAAAGATTTTATCTGTCAGGCTCAAGCGTTTACTATGTGATAGTTTAGTTTTATCTAATTTTAATCATTGTTGTGTTGTTTTTAGTCCATGTCTATTTTATGAATCTAAGCGAAAGGTGCAGGGTGTTCAGAACTATTTTTTTACACATCTCACCATTCTTATTGTCAAGTAGTTGGCTAAGCATGGCACAAAGATTTCTTACACATTACTTATGCCTAATTTATAAAATGGTTCACATCGGTAAACCTCGTTATCTTTTGCATAAAGTAACGTTTATTGTAAGGATATACATAACTTAAATTTAAGACACAGATTTAATGACAATACCAATCCACCGATCTGCTAAGTTTTGTTATTCTGATTCATATCAACTTGATTAGTTGTGCGTCTTTGGAATTCGATGCCCGTGTCTACAAGGTGTGCTGGCTCGATCTCGCAGTTTAGAGCACTTATACTTCGTAACTCTCTACACATGGACATGTCAGTATGAGAATGGTTGTTTTCTGCAGATATGCTTTGTTGGCGAACGGATACTGTTTATTTAAGGTTTATTCATTTTGGGTTTGGAAGAATATATTACTTAGTTGTTTTGCTATTCAGTATTAATAACATTCTTTTTGTCATTGTTGCAAGTAAAACCAATGGTAGTGTTGCTGCCTATTCTGCTCTTGCACCTATTGAGCCGTATTTCTTTACAAATTTCTTTTTGAGTTTTTTTTTAAGTTTTTTTAATTTTATTTTATAATTATTAATGTTTAGATATTATTTTCTCTTTTTTTCTGCTGTATTGTAATGGCTCAATAAACCATTCATTTATTTATTTATAAATAAATACTTTTAACAATGTTGGCAATTGTCTACAAATTTTGCCAATGTCTCGATTAGCGCTTACAGTATTGTCCACTTGGTATTTAATATATTAAACGCATCCTCAAGAATTCGACTGTAAGATTTTATCACAAGTTGTAGTAATGGACAGATCTCATCGCCAATAAATGCTTCAGGAATGCTTAAACTGCCATTACTCGTTTT